GTTGAATTCGAGTTCAGAGAAACTCGATCCAATTCGACTCATTATCGTCCCAACTCGTTGCCCTCCTCCACATTGAAGTACTAACCTAGAGTTAGGTTAATATTAGAATGCAAATTGGGTTTTGCTTTTGCACACAAATTAATTGCATTTAGACGCCCAAAAGTGCCGCTGTTGAGTGTTTTATATTGTTGCTTTCCGCAGTAGTGGAAGACTAGCACAAAGAAAGGAAAAGGCCATACGAAAGTATTATGTAATTAGGTGGTTTCTTGGAAGCCAGATCGGGAATCAAATTTTGGTTGAAGCTAAGCCACACAAACTACATATATTGTCGGATAGCATATCCCAATCTCAAACATAGTTTATTGGGAAGATAAGAGGCCAAAAAACCAGCAATAAATGAAGATAGGTAGATCGGCCAAAAGTTAGGATGCTCAAGTCACAACATCATTTGTGACTACGTCCTCACAAACTCGACAATCGTGTTCATCCAATGATCATAGAGCGCTCGATGAATGATCTAATGGTTGTGAATTAATTGATCAAAATAACTTAAATTGTTATGAGAGATTTTATAATGAATCTTATACACATATGAATTAATATGCCCCCCTTAAACGAAAACTACTCATAAGAGTTAGCAATTTACACATGTCCGAATATAATGCGCTTAACAAATTGGGATCGTAGGGATTCAAACACATGACTTCTGGATCACAAAAGACTCTGATACCAAAAGTAAGAATCGATTGATCTCAATAACTCAAATAGTTGGAAAGAGATTCAGTAATTGATTTCATAACATGCACATACTAACAAAGATGTACTCGATGTGAGAACCGTAATCAGATTGGGGTCGGTCAATAAATGAATATGGATACATAAATGTTTCAACTACTCCCTCTTGAGATTCTGCATTATTTTCCCGGCAGCAAAATGGTCCGCTCCACCACGCACAGAATAATAAATTTCGAGCCCACGAGTCCAATAATCCATGGCAGTTCCACGACTTCTCGGATTGGACTGTGCTACATGTGAGGAGATGTAACTACTCGATCGACCTCGTTCTGAATTGTGGAAAATCGGGGATGTTATCATGTTGAAATGATTCAGATGAAGATAGGCAGGAAGAAAGGCAAGTGTGTTAAAAGGTTAACATTCTCTCATAATATCGTACTTTAAGTGATCTAGACGTTGAATTTGATTAAAAAAATAGTGTAGTTTGATTACATTCATGGGCAGCTTATTTAGCGTCACATGTCTCAACGTTAATTAAACAGGGGCAGGAATACGAAACTTGATTGATATTGTTGGGAGAAGTATTTTTCATTCATGTCATAAGTACTTCATATACAAAGTATATGATCATTTCTTATCGTGATATACTTTTATATATTATTACAATTATCTTGACATCCACTTCTAAAAAACGATCGAATATAGAGTTTCAAAGGATATGATGCATGACACGTTCGAGTTATGAAGACGACCAAATCGCAACCTTTCGATGCAAAAACGACCCCTTACCATTCAGACCGACCCAATTTTGGTACCACGAGTAGCTTAACCTACCCTCACCTAAACAATAAACGAATATTCCTTCTAACAATCATGTATATTTTGTATGTTGTAGATATGGATTCACGTGAAAAAGAGAACATTAAGTATTTGGAGAGAGCATGTATAATTATCTAATCACGATCTTAATTATTGTAATTGAATAATGCTCCCTTGCTTAAACTTGGCCTCCATGAACCTTGGCCTGAGAATAAATAAATAATAAATTGCCATTCAATTATTTTGTGACAAAGTTTGGATGCACTATACCCATCCTCCTGGGAACATAGTCAGCACTCACTAGTCAAACTAATCTCTAGAATATAAAAAGAAAACATTGTCTAAGCAAAGGTTATCCAATAATCATGTTGATGAGTTCTAACATGATCAGTCTCATGAATGGACAATGGTACATTTAATCTGTGCATTAAAAAGTCAATTTAAAATAATACCCACAACAATATTAGTCTCGTGAATGGACAATGGTACATTTAATCTGTACATTAACAAGTCAATTTATAATAATACCCACATTGATAATCAAAGTTGTTGGATGGACTAACCATGACAAGTTGATGAAAAGGAGACACCAACATCGACTTTCACTTAACATGTCAGGTTGTAAGAGTACTGGACGAAATGTATATATGAAGAGTTTGGTATGTATGAAATGTGATCTTTCCTAGATCCTCACTCGTAACCGATATTTTGACTCCCGCCCACATGTTCAAGGAAGTAAACTTTTCTTGGTTGATCATCATGTGCCCAACAATGCCTCGTTCGTCTAGTTTTCCATTTAGTTGATGCCATCGAATGCAGACTTATTTTTTTGGTTTCTGTACGATTTTTTGAGATCAACTCCCCATGGCTCATTCGTAGTCCATATGGTCCTCTTTTGTACCCTGAACTTATCAAAAACATCTTATCAGTCGACCCCATTCTCATTAACAGACCACTTAACTATAGCGCATAAGTGATTCAATACACAAAGTTAGAGAAGCTCCAATGTGTTTCTGGAAACTAAGCAGGTTCGATTTATGATCTCTAAATCTGACCGTTTTCTTTGTTATGGTGTGGTTAGGAATTAGGTTTAGGGTAACTTGTCTAACCGGACGTTTTGTTGTATACGTCTATCTTGTTGAAGCTCACTAGCCAAATGGACCGTTGTCTTATTCTTTTTTTCCTTTAACCATAACGTGCATGATGCAACTCCATAATGGTAAAGCATTGGTCTAGCTAAAGTATGTTTTTGTAAGTGGAGAACGATAAGTATGTTTCTTAGAGCTGGTCAAACGGTTTTTTGTTAGTTGCAATAGTATAGGATATCAGGAGTTTTCAGGTATTCAGAGATTTACATGAATTTAAGCGTTCATGACTCGGTTATTTGGATTTCGAATCACTTAATTAGAGCACTCACATAAGCTCGCGATGATGGTTTGTATAGCTTATGGTGATCACACAACATGTGCATCACATTTGAAACAATGATTAGTGTAAAAGAAAGAAATTAAACCAACATCACTAAATCTGTACAGCATAGTAGTATTCAATGTCAACAAATCTCTCACACAAGTCATGAAAATTGAAAACTATAATCGTAGGGTGAATCTTATACTTTCTCGTATTATCGTTATGTGTAACTAGCTTCCAATTATTGTTTCTATCTTTTTTTTTTTAATCTTCATGTCTACTTTTATTCCTTTGATATTGGCATGACTAGACCTTCAATGATTTGAGCATCCATTCACAAGACTTGTACAAACTGTGGCATGCCATCATTTGGTACATATTCGATGTACTTTTTACCAAGAACTCGGCTTCATGATTCCCAAAAGTTCAGTAGGTTCTCAACCCAAAATGATGATAATGATTCCATCACTCAGAAATGTTTGGTTAAATCTATGGCATCTTGTTTCCCCCACATTGTAAAGTATATAAGCCACTCGTGGGTGATGGGACCAGTTTGATTCTCACCCTTGGTTTTATCTTCTTTCTTTGAATGATTATTGATTCAATATGTTAGTTATTACTTTTGTGACAGTCAACTTATATGTGTTTCATGTTAAGGTGAACTTGGGGTTGAAGGGCAGAGTAGAACGAAGTTTGTCTATTGAGATATGACTTCATTATTTAGCTTCATTAGTTATGGTGAACCACATTTGTCACATACACCAACTTATTTCGTATAGAAAGACATTTTGATGATTAGGTTAAGTGGGTAAATATCTTCGAGGGTAATAAGCAAGAAAGAGATAGAAAGAGATGTCACAAATGTATATAGTTTGTGTGCTCTCGACGTGGACTAGTCCGTATTATATAAGATTAAACTTAACTTTACCTAAAGGTTATCCTTGTGTCTACACGAACCTCTATAATGATTTTTTCTCTGCATATTTGGCTCGTAAATATGAGGTTTAAGCTAGTTGGATAACTCTCCTCATCAGCAAATTAAAATAAATCGAGATGGTTGATCCCATTCGGGTCGAAAGTTTTGAATTATTGGATGTTGGATGGACAATTTCTTAGTACTTGAGCTCAATAAGTGAGGTGGGGAAGAAAGCAACTGAGGAGGAAAAGTACAATATACACGAATGCAATGGCACCTTGCTTGAAAACGAAGTGGAGCACCAAAACTGCTCCCAATTAGCCTGAGATTATTACATTATTAAGCTACTAATCACCATCACAAATTGAATTGTTAAAAACTAATTGACGGATGTGGAAGAAAGGACGAAGGAATAAAGATAATCGCAAGATCTTAAACTGCCTTTTCCTGTCCAATTGTCATTTTCATCCAGCTGCAACCCACAAAATTGCAAAATATAATAATACACAAATTGACGAAATAAAAAACAAAGAAAGAAAAGCTCCACTTATGCAATGCTTCAATTTGCCTTGTTCCAATTCCTAATGTTAGTGAACTCTCTTTTTCATTTATGATCAAAATGTGTTCTTGTCAAGGTTTAACCCAAGAGTTGAATTGTGAAAGATCACTGGGAGGAACTTGAGCTCCTGAATTCATGGTTGAGGTACAAGATGATCAACTACCATAATAACTTGGATTGGTGTCCATGAAACCGTACTGGAAACCGTACCGGGAAAGTCAGCGATATGGTATTTTATGGTAAAATCGTGATTTAATAGTAGTTCAATCGTTAGTACCGTTAAATACCGCATACCGATTTAACCTCCGACACTGATATTTCTAGGTTGAACCGCCGGTACCGTACGGTTTAATGGACCATTTGGTGGTTCAAAATTTTTTTTTTTTTATACTGTGATTCATATTTTGCTCGATTGGGCTGGGCTGGGCTAATATTCGTAACCATCCAGTTGGGCTGCGATGTGGATCTCTCGACAAAATAGATCCATAAGCAATTTTGGACGTTTGGCCCATCAGCTATTTTAAAAAAGAAAGGTTTATAAGAGGTTATGGGTTCGAAGCGGGAATTTTTTCGGTCGGATCACTTTTCTTTGCGGGGTCCGATTCTTCTCTTTTCAATTCATTTTCCAGCTTCGCAAACCCTCTCAACCAAATCTCCGATCGACTCTTCCCTCACCTCGCCGCCGTCCTCCTCCCGCCTCCGTTGCCGCTGTTACTGCAAAACCCAGCCGTAGATTACCCGCCGTATAACAAGGTTCTCCATTTTTTAAATCTCTTTCTCAATCAAGCTTGTTCAATTCAATAGTTTGCGGTGTCAAGGACTCTCAAAGCTTGGATCTTGATGTAGAATTACGTTCCATTTCGAGCTATCAAATTCAGAGATCTGTTTCTTAGTTTTGTCAAGAGGTTGGTAATGCTTACCAGATTTGTATATTTTGATGCTTTGTTCACCTAGGAACTGAGTGGAGAGATGGATCCAGATTCAGTTAAATCGACTCTGTCGAATCTAGCTTTTGGGAATGTAATGGCGGCAGCAGCTCGCAATTACCAAAAGGTTTGGCCTTTGAAAATTTCGATCTCTCTTTACTTGTTCCGATTGCATCATATCAAAGTGGTTTATTGGTTGCATTCCAATAATCGATCTTTGGTGGTTCTTCCATCTTAGTTGCTGCAGAAGTCTCAGAACTTTGTTTGATAATCCGAAAGTTTTGAACTTTAGGCTTGACTTCTCTGTCCTAAGGCAATGTAAGCAGAGCCTACTCGCTCTTATCAAATCGATTGGGCCAAAATTGAGCTGGCTTCTTTAGTCCATGATTCTGGACAAGCCTGTGCACTACTTAAAAGGACTAATTCAAAACCTCCATTCCCTATTAGGGTCAATGACGGCTCCCTCATGCTGATTTTTACAGGAAATACTCAAGCAAGAGAAGGCTCAGCCTTCTGCGAACCAAGAGATTGACCTGGATGAATTGATGGACGTAAGTTCAATGCTGCATGTATATATACCTTCTGTGGCTGTCTTCCCATTGTCCCGACCCAAACTCGCTTGCATTTTGTAGGATCCAGAGCTAGAAAAACTACATGCTGACAGGATCGCAGCACTGAAGGTGAATGAATGGCTCTCAGAAATCTCTTAAAGCAATCATTTACCGTTTTTTCTTGATATATCACGTGCTCTCTCAAGTTTGTAAAGTAATCGCAATAGGGTTGTGCTTGAAATAGAGAGAAGCTGAGAAGCGTGAATCCCTAAAGAGGCTAGGACATGGAGAGTACAGGGAGATAACTGAAGGGGATTTCTTGAGCGAAGTTACGAAGGGCGATAAAGTGATCTGCCACTTCTATCATAAGGAGTTTTATCGCTGCAAGTACGGTCTTGTTTACTTCACACCCTTGACAAAACTTTTTCTGAAGGGAATTTGTTATATTAGCTTTTTTGTTCATTTTTGTAGGATCGTGGATAAGCATTTGAAGGCTCTTGCTCCGAAGCATGTGGATACCAAGTTTGTCAAGCTGGATGCCGAGGTCTGTTTGCGAATACCCTTGTGGTTTTCTCGTTGATACAAAGTTAGCATCTCAAATGACCTTGTGCTGTGGATGGTTGCAGAATGCTCCCTTTTTTGTTGCTAAGCTTGGGATCAAAACTCTGCCTTGCGTCATACTTTTCAGGTGCCACATACAGAATGCTTCCATCTTTGATCTTATATTGATTGGCGTCTTAAAATGTGCGTATGATCCTTCCTGTACTAAAAATCGCAAAAACTTTCATGTATTAGGAAAGGGATTGCAGCAGATAGACTGGTGGGATTCCAAGATCTTGGCGGTAAAGATGATTTCCCAACTACAAGGATCGAGAACTACTTCATAAAGAAAGGTGGGAATTTCTTTTTCTACTATGTGTATGCATTCATGTGATTCAAAGTTCATAATAGGCAAGTACATGAAGTTCAACTCTGCTTTCTTGTGCAGGTATCATTAGTGAGAAGAAGAAAGGTAACGAGGACGAAGAGGAAGAGTATGATGAAAGCCGTCGCAGGACAGTGAGATCGTCTTTGGATGCTGATTCCGATTCGGATTAAGAGAGAACTATGCAGCGGATCACTTCTTTCTGCTTCGTAAAATGTATTTCTTTGTTGTAATGTTGATAAGTGTTGAAGTTCTTTCCTTTTCAGAATTTTGAGTCCAGCCTCTTAGCAGTAAACCCTGCTTCCGGTGATTCTGATTGTGTTTCCTGCCTAGTTCAGCTGCTGCGATTGTTGTTATTCGGAGATTCTAGTTTGACAGAGTGTATGGCATGTTTCATAGTAGTGAAGTGCCTAGTTGGTACAGACACATATCGAGATTGATTTCAGTATATGTATCAGTCTAGCTCGGTTTTGATCGGGTTTGTTTCTCTTTTCTTTGTCAAATCACGTCAGATCGGGAACGTTTCATGTATTCGTTATGGTTCAATTCAATCCACATGTCGATATATTCAAATTCAAATGTTGATTCTCTTTAGAAGGTGTGCGTAGATCGAATCGTTGCCAAAACAGGAATGGGAATGAGGAAGTGGAAGATTGCATGGAGTTCCAACTTGCCAAAAGTGAGCTATGGATATGGAGAATACATTCCCAAGTAAATTGTAAGCTATCCAGTGAGGTTACCAAATTGCTACACGATTGAACCAAGTTGAAAGGAGAAGAGAAGATGATGATTCAAACCACATTGCTCTTCTTTCTCGATCCATTCGAGTTGCAAACAACTTCATTATGAATTACTTTATAGGACACCACAATGGACTATTTGAGACGTTGGAAACTTCTATCATGACTGACAATGAGTGCCACTAGTATTTCACTCAGAGTAACAAAAGGTACAAATTGACTTGAGTTTTTTATTTGAGATTGAGAATAGTCATTGCATCTTGTCCATTTTTCTACCATATTTATAATTTTCATGGGAGTAAAAACTGAATTACATTATATTTGGTTCGATATGATCCAGCCAAACGTCAATTTGGTAATGTAGAATCTGGCACAAACCAATCGTTGCAGAAACATAATCATATTTTTATCCTCAAGTGACAAAATCATTCATGAATATGTTACAAAATTTGAGTTACAAAGATAAAAACATTGTGTTTTTACCATCTATAATTTGATTCGATGATGGAAATAAATTGCAATAAGTCTTCGTCCAAATACGATCAATCTGACTCCACACTTAAATGGAAGAAAGCATATGTAATCACTTACATCTCTTCATGTGTCGAAATACAAACTCAATGTAAGTTTGTAATCATTCACTCTTTCTTGTGTTTTGCATCCCACCATTCAAGTAATTCAATACATTTCATCCCTTTGATAATGAAAATATCGAAAGAGGGTTGAAACTTGAAACCTAGAAACAAAGGCAATCCGGATAGGGAAAGGAAAAGATGCTGAAAATGGCATTGGGAAATGGTGCTAGTGGAAGGCCAAAGTGAAAGTGAGTAGTGGCCCAAAATCTTGGTTGGATTTCGGTTTATTCTTCATGCGTGTGGGACGAAAGAAAGAATTTGATTCTTCCCACGATGTGCTTTCTTCCATTGGCCTTATTATAATGCAACAATGAACAAACCATCCTTTTAGGCCATTGATTAATGATTATATGCATACAATCATTCATCTAGTTTCCACAAAAATGTACTAAAGTTCAGCCTTTAAAAAGAGCTAATGATCGTAGGGAAAGATAAAGAACCTGCCCGATGAAAGTTTAAGTGGCCAAAAAGCACATTAATTAATCTGTATCGGGGCATGCACCGCCAATTTGGGAGGCTGATCTATCACTCGCGAGGAACTTCGAGAGGTCATTGAGGGTCTTCAGTCTGTCTGGGCAGATCGAATATCGGAGGATGACCCTACGGATGGATTCGATATGTACACTATGACACTATCTATTTTGCACGCGATGAAGGAGCCGTCATAGTAACACCCAAGCCTCGTGTTCCAGTTTTGTGGTATCTTCTCTAGTGAGAGTGAACTATTCATCCTCTCTCTTTTTTTCTTTTCCGGATGAGTAATTTTCTAACCGAATGTTTGATTGATAGAGGAATTCCTGCCCCAATTTTTGTTCGTCATGTTTCTCAACAGGATCCTAAGGTTCGATATTAGATTGGGTATATGACATTTTGGAGATTTTTGTGGCCGTCGTATTAATATCATGAGGTCGCTCACGGTGCTGTGCACCCATTTCAGATGAAGAAAAATCTTAACTTGTATTACATATCAAAACCGGATTCAAAGAGCCAAAAATTTGCCCAAATTCTGTACATAGTTTCATGTATTTTTTTTTTTTTTTTTAGTACAGTCGATAGCTACATTTCATGCAGATTCATACACGTCCAATTGGCAATTACTCACCACCAAGCCAAGAAGCAACACCCATTTCGTTTACCCCAAGTACTCTTCTTGAACAGTTTTCTTATTGGTTTGGCATTTTCTTCCTTTTCTTCATAGATATATACAGTTTTATTAATGAATGCTAGTCTTCGTGTACGGGGAATTTTGGTGGATTCTGGTGTTGGGAGAGAAGGAAGACAGCACGTGGTTGTTTTTAGTGTTAACTAGCAGCAATAGTACAATCGAGGCGACGACTAAGGATTAATTAAATGTTGTTCTGCAGCAGCAACAGTCGTCGTCTAGGTTAGTTGAATCACCAATTGAAGCATGCATTTTGACCGTGGGAATCATAATCACGAATCATGGTAAATGAAGATCGGTTGAGATCTTAATTATTGACTAGATTCAGGGCAATCTTCAAACTTAATTATTAGGGTCTGTAAAATCGGATAACGCGGAAAAGAGAGAACACGAGAATTTACGTGGTATCCCCGTTCAAGATGAACGAGACTAATCCACGGGAGCAAGCTCCAGAGAAGGGTTTCACTAGTGGGCGGCCGAATAGAAATCGAGGCCAGTAGTTCTTGATACACGACTAAGCTAGTTGCAGGATATTTAACCTAGGGGATTAGGGAATTAAGTTACCTAATTACAAGATGGTACTCATAATTAAACAGGGTAACTATTTACATCCCAACAGGGTCTTGTTTCTTTGCATTAATAATCTCTCGTCTCTTGATTTAAAAAAAAATCTCTCGTCTCTTTTTTACAGATCACGAGTCGTCTATTTTTCTTAACCATCGATATCATGACTCACGAGTATAGTAATTTGAAGAGAAAAAAGGGGGGGGGGGGGAAATCATTGTCTAGTGAAAGCTCTTTCATATACACTCGGTATCTTGCTCACTTCCCTTTTATGAAGGATATACTTTCTTAGTATGATATTATCAATATTGTCTCCCTCATCTATTGCAACCATAACATTTAATTTTATTTGATCGCCATGAGTCAGACTCATCCATCCATTTTCCAGACCAAAACTTGAGTCGTTAACCTCGCTTCACACAAAATTTTTTATATAACGATGACATCGTATGATTAGGAAAAGAAATAGAGATACGATGAGAAGAATCCATCGAGAAAAAGAAAGCATGTAATGAAAAACGACAGTAACAAACAAACAAGGAAAAAAACTCTGACACCATTACCTGAAGAACACCTACTCAAAAGAAAGCTAACCGAGAATAAAAAACACCAACATTGAAGACCGATCGACATCTCATATCTTCTTACGTAACTTGCTCACTTCCCTTTCATGAAGGATATACTTTCTTAGTATGATATTATCAATATTGTCTCCCTCACCCATTGCAATTTGCAACAATAACATTTAAGTTTATTTGATGATTGATCAACATGGGTCAGACTCATCCATCCACTTCCAGACCAAAACCTGAGTCGTTAACCTCGCTTCACGCATGTTATTAGGAAAAGAAATAGAGATACGATGAGAAGAATCCATCGAGAAAAAAAAGCATGCTATGAGAAACGACAGCAACAAACAAACAAGGCAAAAAACCCTCACACCATTACCTGAAGAACACCTACTCAAAAGAAAGCTAACTGAGAATAAAAGATATCAACATTGAAGATCAGTCAATATCTCATATCTTCTTACGTAACCGCCGCATCTTAAGACGATTAGACTTAACTACCCACATTAAAATACACAAGAGGGCTTATCCTTTTTTTGGGAAACATATAGTAGTTAATAAATGTCAAAGATAAAAGAAAGCCTTTAATGATGAGATGAGACTTCTAAAACTCAATAATGGCAAAGAAGGGAGCGGGGTAGGGCATCAAAAGGAACAACATGCATATCTCAACTCATCCTTTGATTGAAAACTCATAAGATAACAGTTTCACATATATTTATTACACTCAATTTATTCCATTATTTACAATTATTTTGCTCCTTTTCCCCCCTCTAGTTGATGAATTATATGAATGAGGCCTTTGGCCTTTGCTATGACAGGACCAGAGGGTGCAAAGCAGCTCTCAACTCAAATCAAACCATCCAGAAATAGATCTTTGATTCCCTCTTTGCTCTCTGCTGGAACCCTCCACCATGTTCTGGCTTTAACAAGTAAAAAAAAAAAACACACACACACACACACATTGCTCATTCATTGGCTACTATTTTCTACTTTCTACAAACAGAAAATCCCATTTTCAGATTTTCACTTCTGGCATCTGCAAATTTGCAGGTGCAGGTGGTAGAGCTATGAGGCTATGCTACTACTAGAGCCCTAATTGGCCAAGAATGGTTGGGTTGCCAGTCTTCTCTTCTCTTATCCTACCAACTCTTTTATCTCATCAATTTCTGCACTTCCATGAGATCTTCTTTGGGTTTTCATATCTCCTTTTAATTCCTTTGTAATTTGTGCTCTTATGGAAAGTGTTGACACTAAACCACATGCCTAATACTAGAACAAGACACCATTGTTTATTAGGAAATCAGGGATATACTTTAAGGATTGATAATGTAACACTATATGCTAAGCTTTTTTGGTTTTAGATAATGATAAATTTGGGTTGTTGGTGTATCTGTCATCTTATGCCACTCTTATCTTATAATTTGGTCCAATTTTTTTGGTATAAGTTAACTTATAATGCGGGATAGAATTCGTCTTACGAACTATATCGGTCATTTTGAAGTAAATGCACCTAATTTTGTTACATTTGTATATATTACTACGATGTTAGGCCTAAGCGGTCTCCAATTACTAAGGTTTAGGTACATTAGTTGTTCTCCAATCGGTTCACCTAACTGGTGATCTTTGCATTGTTCATCACTTTTACCCCTTTCTTTGTAACAATAATTTTTATGATCATCTAATAAATTAGCGACCCAAATGCTTGTCTTCTCATTAACGAAGAGGGTATAATAGCTCGAACCCATGATCAAAGAATTGTGGATAATCACTTTTACCAATCGACCAATGATAATTTGGTCTCTGTTTTGAACCCTAAAATTACTACCGAAATGTGAGGTTTACTTACTCAATTGGCACATATCCATAATACTTAGCCATCACTCCATAGAGTGTTTTACCAGTCAAATGCATAACTCTTGGAAGATAAATCTCTAGGATAAATGATACATATTACTGTATCACTGATTAGAAGCAGATTCAAAGTATTTTGGTACTGACTGGTAAATATATTTCACTGCAGGTCTTTCATCATGTTTTCTTTCCTTTGTCCATCTCTGCTCTGCTCTGTTCTGATCTCTCTCTCAAGTCATCCCTCTGTGCCCAATTCTCCAGTCCGACCTGACACCCTCTCTCTCTCTCTCTCTCTCTCTCTCTCTCTCTCTCTCTCTCTACATTTCCACTTGTTAGTTTACTCTTCCAATCTAAAAAGACCCAAAGAACCCACAAAAGAAAAAGAAAAGATCACTCACTCCACAGAAAAAGAAAAGAGATCACAGAGCTGGCACAAAAGATGGAAGGTGACGGACTGAAAAAGAGAAAAGAGAGCAAAAGTAAATAATTTTAAAATCGTATAAAAATAACACACAACGGTTTCACCCCCCTTTCCCTTTTGCTCTGCCTGCTCTTTCCCCTGCTTTTTACTGGTTCTCCTCTCTCACTCTTTCTTTCCCTTTTCGATTTCTCTCACCCTTCAGTTTAATTTGCACCTCTTCCATGGCTGTAGATGATAATCACCACCATCATTGATCAAGCCTTTTAAGTTTTAAACCCTTAGTTCCAGCCCCAAATTATGGCTTCTTCTTCTTCTTCCAACCAGTTTGTTCTTCCTCTGTTTTTCTTCTTCATCATCATTTCCCCTGTTTTCCTCCCACTTTGTTCCTCCTACGAGCCTCGCAACCACGAAGGTAAAGAAAAAATTTTAAAAGTTCGAATCTTTTCACCGTTTTCCCTGCTCCAAACCTCGATTTCTCATCTGGGTTTCTGTTGCAGTGGAAGCTCTGATAAGCATAAGGGAAGGACTGAACGATCCCCATGGAGTTTTCAAGAACTGGGATGAAGACTCTGTCGACCCTTGCAGCTGGGCGCTGGTCACTTGCTCCCCTGATAATCTCGTCATTGGCTTGTAAGCGTTTTCTTCTCTCCTCTTCCTCTCACAGCTTGTTTGGTTTCCGAGAAAATGAAAAAAACTCAGGAAGGAAAGTCCGATTCTTTTCATAATTTTTTCTCTCCTTTTTGTGGTGTTGTAACGGCAGGGGAGCTCCCAGTCAATCTCTGTCCGGAGCTCTGTCTCCTGCTATAGGGAATCTCACCAATCTCCGCCAAGTGTAAGGAAGATTTTGATTCCATTTTCCTCATTCTGATAAAACCCCATTGTTGCTTTCCTTACTGGAATTCCAAATCCTTTCCTTTTTGCGTTTCAAGGTTGTTGCAGAACAACAACATCTCGGGCAAAATCCCTCCAGAAATGGGCACTCTGCCGAAACTCCAAACGTTGGACCTTTCCAGTAACCGGTTTTCTGGGTCGGTCCCTGATTCTTTCGGTCAATTAGTTGCCCTGGAATACCTGTGAGTGTGAATATATATAATAATCATTCATGAATTCCTGCCCTATTTCCCGGGGATTTCATTTGTTGCTTATAATGGTTTTTTGGGGATTCTCACGTTTACTGTGTTGTGTTCTGTTTTTTGTTGGGTTGTGTCATGTAAACGAGACTAGGAGGCTGAACAACAATAGCTTGTCTGGCTCTTTCCCACTGTCCTTAGCCAAAATCCCACGGCTTGCTTTCTTGTGAGTATACTGTATAGATTTTCTTCCATTCTTTAAAAAAGTATATAATCTAGGTTCTTGTTGGATACCACTGTTGCACAGAAATACTTCTGCACTAGCCACTAGTACATTTGGTTGAAATAAATAATTTTGATACGATCATGTTCACGGTTTATTGTTAAACTTTGAATCGTTAGAAATGTTTGTTGTTTGGACTAGAATATAGCAGTTTTCTATACAATTCTTTTACAATGCTTTCATTATACGTTACATCGATGAACTTTTCGGTTCATGAGATCGAAATAGGGGGGAAATCCCGATACAATCATTTTACAGTTCTATCATTGAACCTTAAAATCGTTAGACTAGATCATAAGATGGAAAGGTTGTGTTACGATTTTCATGAGATTCTAGATCGTTAGACTTAACGGTGTTTGGTGCAACTTAACTAGCTTTTAATTCTTTTTGTCATGAAGTCATTTGTCCCATAGCCGTTTTTTTGTTGGTATTCTATGGCGTTTCAGTGCCTAGAGAACCGAAACAGAAACATCTGATGAACAGAGAAATAAGGAAGGAAAAAGTCTCCTCTGATACTCAGTAGCAATTTTGTATTCTATCTCAGAATTTCTGATCAGTGGGGGTTCTCTTTTTGCTTCCAGCTTTTGATAATTATTGCTTGCTGTGGACATTGTTTGCAGGGACTTGTCTTATAACAATCTCACTGGACCAGTTCCCAAGTTCCCCACAAGAACATTCAAGTAAACTGTAGCAAAACATTGTTTCCTTGTGCTTAAAACATGTTTTTGTTTCTTTGTCCTTGTTTTTTACTGTTTTGGTAAAACATTCAATGCAGTGTGGTTGGTAACCCATTGATATGTGGAAAGAGCAGCAGCAGCAGCTCTAGTGGTGGGGATGGATGTTTTGGTTCAACCAGTTCTGGTCCTCTTCCTTTCTCTCTTGGTTCATCTCCTGGTAAAACTCCCAATCCTTGCGTAAACGGTCGATCTAACTAATGTAACGGTCATTTCGCGTACGAATGATATGATGTGTCCTCCATTTTTCAGGGAAGCACAAGTCAAAAAACATTGCCATTGCTGTTGGAGTCAGTTTCAGCATTGTCACTTTCTTGATTCTGGCTGTTGGAGTACTTTGGTATAGAAGGAGACATAGAAGCTGCCAAACTGTGCTCAACATTAATGGTGAGATAGTGAAAGAGCACACAATTCACCCTGATTTTGCTACTACCTTTCAAACTTTCAACAAGACCTGAAATTTCTTGGTTGTGTTTTGTTGCATTTAATGTTTTCAGACAGACAAGAAGAGGGGCTAATAAGCCTAGGCAACCTGAGAAGCTTCACATTCAGGGAGCTCCAGCTAGCTACCGATAACTTCAGCTCGAAGAACATACTTGGATGTGGAGGGTTTGGCAATGTCTACAAGGGTAAGTTGGGGAATGGGACATTGGTGGCAGTGAAGCGGCTCAAGGATGTGACTGGTAGCGCAGGCGAATCACAGTTCAGGACGGAGTTGGAGATGATCAGCCTTGCAGTTCACCGGAATTTGCTCAGGCTGGAAGGGTATTGTGCTACAAGTAATGAGAGGCTGTTGGTTTATCCTCACATGGCTAATGGCAGTGTGGCCTCAAGGCTTAGAGGTATGTTACTTAATACTTGGAATACTATTGTTCATTGCACATTTGGTTGTTCGTGTCGTTTTAAACGCGGATTGCTTCCAGAGGAATTTGATGATCACTGACTATGATGCAGCCAAGCCAGCATTGGATTGGAACACAAGGAAGAGGATAGCAATAGGGGCAGCCAGGGGACTTCTCTACCTCCATGAACAATGTGACCCTAAGATCATCCACAGAGATGTGAAGGCAGCCAATGTGCTCCTCGACGACGACTATGAGGCTGTGGTGGGAGATTTCGGCCTTGCAAAGCTTCTCGATCATGCTGACTCACATGTCACGACTGCTGTACGTGGCACGGTGGGCCACATTGCACCAGAGTACCTCTCCACTGGCCAGTCCTCGGAGAAGACCGACGTGTTTGGGTTTGGTATCCTTCTGATAGAGCTCATCACAGGGATGAGAGCCCTCGAGTTCGGGAAGAGTATCAATCAAAAGGGAGCTATGCTTGAATGGGTAAGCCCTTACTTAGCTACATTTGCTATATAACAAACCCACATTTCTGTAAAAACTGTAAAAAGTAATACATGAAACCTTATTTTGCTTAAACTAGGTGAAGAAGATCCAGCGAGAAAAGAGGGTGGAAGAGTTAGTGGACAGAGAGCTCGGAATCAGCTACGATCGGATCGAAGTTGGTGAGATGCTACAAGTAGCCCTTCTATGCACTCAATACCTCCCAGCCCACCGTCCGAAAATGTCTGAAGTGGTCCGCATGCTTGAAGGCGACGGCCTAGCTGAGAAATGGGCAGCTTCACACAGCATTCTTCTAACCACTGATCATCATCTTCCCACCATGAGCTTCAACCACCACAAGAGGCCCACGAGAACATTATCATCATCATCGAAGAAGCACGACGAAAATGGATCGAGCAATGATCGTTCGAGCAGTTGTATGCTTGGTGGCATGGCCATGGCTGATGATGACTATGATGACGATGATGATGAACATTCCTTGGATTCCTATGCCATGGAGCTCTCTGGTCCCAGGTAGATAGATCAAAAGTTATAAAGAACATGATGACTGCATATGTGTTTCTTTTTCCTTCTTCTAGCTCTTAGACTTTGGGATTGATCAATTCTTTTACTATAAAGATACGATCTTTCTTGCTTAACTAGATGAAATTGTATGATATGTAGTGTGGGGTTTGGTTTTATATTGTAAATATGTCATATTTTGCGTGTGTGGGGGGAAATGCAAGAACATTATTGGTTAGTGGTTATTAGTACTTGGTACAATGTTTTCTGTCGTTCTTTTTGACTGAGAAGAGGTTTCAAATGTTTGTTGGGAGTACACTGTTCTCTTGTTTTCTGCCTTTCTTTCATCAGCAAAAGCTCTTCTCAGAGATCAGAGATTCCACAAGTCAAAAGGGGTTCTCATGACTGTAAGGCTAAGCTGTTATGGGTCGTTTTCTCTGTTGCTTCTGCAGGCTTGCCAATGCAAAGTGTGGACCAGTCTGTAATTTTTGGTTGGGCCTATTAATCGGATGGCCAATTTTGGTAGATCTCAGTGACAGAAATAAGATTAAGGATTTGAATCTAGTAGGTGGAAAAGCATATGTAAAATTGTAACAAACATGGAAAATAAACTAGGAAAATTTGTAACAAACTTGGCCTAGTGGTTAATCCAAGAAACCACTCATGATTAGAGGATGTGCACAAGCAGCTGAAACAGAGAATTTTTCTGCCTCTGCAATTCACAAATCAAACCACCAGCAAGGTACAAACTTAATTTTAGTTCTGATTACATCTTCCCCTTTCGCCTCAAAGCCCTGTGTTTGTAAACGGTAAAGATTGCACCTTTTGGCTACAAACTCGAGAACCCATCGAGCTTTCCTTCATTTCTGAAGCATTTCAAGATCCAAGCTTTACTCAAAACATGGGTTTTCTCAAAGCTCAAATCTTTCAATCAAGACAACAGGTCAGGTGAGCTGAATTGACTCCCCTCCACCATTAACGCTCTATCTGGATTGTGACATGGCTGATGTTGTATTCCCTCTTGAGGTAGTTTATGACATTGTCCAGTACGGCGTCGGCGTTTGCTTCTGGCCTGATTTTAACATGACAAGCCAAGAGGATCTTGCCAACCGTGATGGCCCATATATGCAGCTCATGGATGGCCACCACTTCTTCCATCTCCAGAATCCCTTTCTCAACCTTTGTTGCATCAACCTCTCTGGGCGTGCTCTCCATCAAGACTTCCAGAACGTTTCTCAACATCTTGATCGTCGTGCCCATAACTATAACTGAGAAGGCTAGGGTGCATATTAGATCGACAATCTTCCATTCAGGCTTGTACCAAATGACTGCTCCTCCAATCATTACTCCTATGCTCTGGACGGAATCACCAAGAACGTGAAGATAAGCTCCCTCAACATTTATGTTCTTTTTCTTCTTCTTCTCTCCCTTTTCCTTATTGTCTAGCAGTGGCTTTGCACTCTCTTCATGAACATGTTGGTGCCCTTCTTCCAAATGATCATGATAATCCTCATGACTGTGCTCATGTTCGTGATGGTGATCGTGTTCGTGATCGTGATCGTGTTTGTGACCATGATCATGATGACCATGGCCGTGATTATGGCCATGATCGTGACCATGGCCGTGCCCATGATCATGGCCCAGCAAAAACGCCATGATAATATTCACCACCAGACCAAATGCTGCAACCAAAAACATCAGAAAGCCATCCACTTCACCTGTGTTATAAACGAGCCTAACAATGGCTTCATACACGATAATCCCAGTGAGCAGCCAAATGATCTGCATTGACACCAGCGCGCCAAGAATCTCGATCCTGAAAAACCCATACGACTGGCGCGGAGTGGCCTCCCAACTAGCAGCCCACAGAGAGAACAACGAGATGGCAAACGCCGCAACATCTGTAAGCAAATGCGCAGCATCGGTCAGTATAGCTAAACTGTTCGCCTTGATCCCTCCGGCGACTTCAACAGCCATGAAAACCACACAGAACCCGACTGCCATCAGCAGCTTCCGCATCGAAGCTGCTCGTTCTCTGGCTTCTTCCGAATTGCTGCTCAGTGCATCAGAGAAGCCACAAGGTGCCTCTGCACAAATCTTGTTTCCCCCAACATTACTATTGCCATCTGGAGGAAGATGAGCATCCGTTTCGATGATCTGTCTCCGTCTTGGACTCTGGTCTTCCATCTGAGAAATTCACAGCAGCAGGAACATCAGTACTACAAGAACTCTAAATCATCATAACCAAGTAACTTCATTGGTCTCTTCAAAAGAATACACAGAAACTAGTCAAGAGTGACTGTATACGGGTTATGGAAGCATCCCAAACCCACATTCACCATAAAGGAACAAACACAAACCATGTTTTAATATCTCCTCGCTACTTCTATCTACTGACAAAGATCACAGGTTCAGGTCCAGCAAGAAAAGATCACAACACAAAGGCCAAACCTTGGTGGAACATGCGGCAAAAGATTTTATAATAGAATGCAGTTCAAACAATCATTAACAATAAGACAGTAAAGCTCTAAACTTTATCCGCTACAGAGAAAATTGTCACCAACCCTCCACCAGAGTTCAATCAATCACAATCCACCAGCCGTCGCAGACGACGAAACCCAACCACCGTGAAAGAATACACACAAAAGAACCACTGAAGCAAGCAGAAAAGGAGTAGAAAACAGTTGGTTGAGACGAGAAAAAGGGGAAAGTCCTTACGGTGAACAGGACAGCAGCAGGGCTCTCCGGCTTGGTCGACGGTGGAGCAGCGGGAAGAAGACGACGGCGGAGTCTCCGGAGAGTTGCCGAAGAGATTTCGGACGCGGGCTCTCAAATGATACAGAGGAGACTCCGTGGCGCAAATGGACATTAATACCTGGCATTCCCAATTCCCACTAAAATAAGGACTTGTAATCCTGCCCGTGAACCTAACCTCCTCATCATAAAGGGAATCTTCTTACGAAATATCCTGTTGTCTTTTTCTCTAGTTGATGGTTCTTCTTTTCCTTTCTAGTCTCATTCGTAAAATATTAAAAAGTGTATCCAAATTCGACAAGGAGTCTTGATGCAATGTTCGAATAATTTAGGACTACAAATGAGGTCGAGCTATGTATATATTTACCAGCGATCTGGTGACCGATTATTGGTGGAGTTATCTTGGGGATTCTGTGATAGATTATGTCGTTGAAGAGGTCGAGAGTCCGACAGAGGACCTTAACGCGGCAAGTACTGGAATTAGCTCCCGGTAGAAAGAACTATGAGGAGATTTCTCGTGAAATCAGAGACATGTTCTGGAAATCGGTCCATTACATGAAGGAGGATATGTATGCCAGCACCAAACTGGTCGAACTCGTGGACTCCGTCATCAATCGACCCATCTCTCTCGCAGCCTCCCCTGCTGATCTCAACTGAGAAACTGGGTCGATGAACGATCGGACCAGAGCTAGCTGCAGACGACCTCGGAACAATCTTCATTTTCACTCACGGGCAACAAAGAAATTAAATAAATGCGAGTTTTCATTCGAGCATTTCGTATATCGTACTAAGGTTCTGTAGTTTGGGGTGGAATGTACAAATTCTCATGCTATCCCAACACGCTTTAAGAATCAAACATCATGGGTTCTAAACAACCCCTGACATGCATACATCCCGAACCAGAAGTAACATGTAATTTTCAGGGGTTTCTCCCTTTTGGCAACATAACAAGGAAACAGAAAGAAAGTAGCTTTACCTTCTACCAAATTTCCCCCCTCTTTAGCAAACGAAGACTAGCTTATGCAGCTTCTAGTCTTCTTTGCCTAAAATTGTCAGCCTGTCCTTTCCAAGAGGACTCCGCTTCATCTAATCTCACCGGGTTCTTGTCTTCACGAACTTGCCTCTTGAAGCTTTCCTCTCCATCTTTTCTCTCTTCTTACGAGTCTTCTCATCCTCTTCAGCTCCCTGAGCACCAAAACACAGACAAATTTCTCACTACAGATCCATTTGCGCTTTGAATAATGGGTTTTGCAATTTTACCAAAGCTGGAACAGAAATTACCCCTGAGCCTTGTGGCATGAATTGTGACAGTAATCCTTTGATCAATCCAGAAGATTTGTATGCTCCAAATGCCGGTATCTGGACAGTAATAAGGATAACTGGTTAGATTACGAATGGCTTTCTACCATTAACACAATATGAACTCATTTGTCTGCATGGTAATCCTTGATGTGGAAGTTAAAATAGATATTCACCAAGACCTAAAATGAACACTAGCAATGAACATGCACTAATAACTAGCAAGTTCATTCCAACGCTTCAACATGTTGGCAGGACTCATAATATCTCGATTCTCGTCCAAGTTGGAGTTAAAGAAGCTCTTACCACAAGATAAGTGTACCAAAACTTATCAGACAGTATGGAAGCAATCTGCACAAAGCTGGTGATGTAGATAACATCGTGAAGATAGCTGCAACAACACAAAGGACATCATTACTCATTAAGATTCTTTGAGCAACCAATTGAAAGTTTGCAACATAGGAAGCAAGAAACCGAGAATGCTTAATAATACTCTTCCAAAGTGTCTGTTTCATAACTGAGAATGCAACTGAAAACAGACATGCATACATACATACCCACATATCCCACCAGTGCTCATATCAAACCCACCATCGAAAAGCTCCCCATCATCTCCATAACTAGGCTTCGCCATTGAAGCAAGTTGTTGGTAAGGCAAGTAATACGCAAGAGATGTCAAGGCCAGGCCAATCCAGTGCTTCCATGTGAAGCTCGAACGGAAAACAAGCAGCCTCACCACAATATATATGGCCTAATAAAACACACCCACCAGAAATTCCCCAATTCCAAAATTCAGCTACTGCAATAACGTAAATCAAGCAAATCCCATTTCGAAAGATAGGTTCTTTAACGTGTGTTCCTTACATTGCAGGCGATGATGATGCGGAGGAGATTAGCCATGTGGCGGGCGTTCTCTTCCTTGCGCTTCTTAGCTCCCTGATTCGCCATTTCCTTCCTCTACTACTCACCAAAACCCTAAGATTACCCCCTTTTCTCCTCTCTCTTCCCTGATTGCAAGCTCAGCGCGACTGGGTTTTGCTTCTTCGAGCTTACTTGGTCGTGACCTATGGAAAAAGCCGTCGGAAAAGCGGGACCGGAGTCTGTATGTGAGTTGGGTGACCGAAAATTTGAGCCGAAACTGTTAAAAGTTTAGAGCTTTTTTCCCTCTCGATCTTGTTGTCTGAGCTGAAATTTTTGATAGGCGGAGACGACGAGGGATTGGGAGCGCGCGCCGCCGTGGACTTCTGGGCTGGCGGGTACGAAATTTTGGGTCTGAAAACGGGCCAAACCAGGCCCAATGTACTTGAACCCATATCCACCCTTTTTATCTCCCATCCTCATCCTATAAGTGCATAACTCACACATATTACATTTCCTCTCTATAGGGGAGTAATTCATTTTTCGAGATTCACTGGGATGGATGATTTTTATGCGATTACGAATGAAAATAAAATCCCCTTACTGTTGCACTTAGTTACCCACAAAATTCGAACTCTTTTCCAGTTCTATATTAGATATAGCCTAACTCTTATAGATACATTCTAAAACGTTGAAAATTTGATGACGAATATCGTGCTAGACTTCTCATGCCAAAGTTGTCATCCTGCAAATTGAACTGGTCAAATCTTTTCCTAGTCATTGTCTTCACCTTGAATGGACCTATGTTCTCTATGTCACTTCAAAATTTATGCTTGTACATACTCCATCTTTCACAATTCTTGCCCATTGTTTTCCCCATCGAGCATCATAATTGTTATTATTGCCATTTGCCCACTTGGTTACCAAGCCTTAGTGAGTAATCTATGATAATCCCACGGGAATGATTCTCTCCCAAGATTGCACGATGCAATTGTATACATATAGAGATCGCTTGTTGTCCTTGGTCATTTTACCTAGTGATATGGTGGAAGGAAACATGCATGTCATTGATTTGACAAGAACAAATGAAAATCAGACAAACAAACAATGCGACAATTGGTTTTGTGTCTACATAGGCCCCCACTAGAAAGAATCCAACCACTAGCCTCATTATGTTGATTCCATGATTACTTGGAGTAAAGGTGGAGCCACGTGTAGTACAAGAGACATCGTAACTAAGATACACATAATACGTATAGATCTAAGTTCATGAAATATTTTCTAGGTACTACCAAAGTCCAAAGCAACAACACATACAAGATTTTGTCTATAAATAGACCATCAGGTCTTCCAAGTAAGAGGCTCCTCTCCTCTCTTCCCTCGACAGACTATGCACCTTTCTTCATTGTCTCTTGCTATCTTTGCACACTCTATTTTCATAACACTTGGTTGATGTTGATCGTCGGGACATAGATAAAGTGAGACATCCCACATTTCTATAGATCCGGTGCGTTCTCGAAGAGCTTGGACCAGCGGTGCTCAAATTAAGACTATGGAGCTAGACAATTAGTTATAATAATTAATAAGATAACAAGTTCAACATACTATTGAGAGGACGTGATCTTCAAATATGAAGAATCTAGAATAACATTGAAAGTCGTTATCGTATTTGTGTAAAAATATATCCTTTTTCGGTTTGTGATTGATGAGTTCTCTTTCCATCATATTTTCGTAAAGATACAAGAAATAAACTTTGGATTAGAATTTAGAAACTAGGGTTGATGTTTACAAGTTACAACCACTATCTAGCTAGTGGGGATGAAAGGGTGGTGGTCCATTTGTGATATGGATTCCATGTACATGTCATGCAAAGGCTACAAACTTATAACAGGTGTCCCATTTGACGAAAGAAAAAGATGTCACTGGAAAATCATTATCAAAACACAATTAAAAACATTTGAATAATTGGCCAATTCAGGATTTAGTGTGACGACTGACGAGTGCTGAAAATAACAATTTGTAACCGTTTTTCACAATTGAACATACATTTCAAAGGAGGATACTAATAACTCACATCATACAACTTTCTAATATTGTTTCAAGATATAAATATACATATTATAATCTCAGAAGTCAGATCACAATTGAGTGGGTTGTAACCCTTCCACAACTACACGTAGCTCCACCACCACTAATTCAGATAATCCAAATACAAATGATCAGAATGATGTTAACACCTAACCCGAACGATCCTCTCTTTTTTTTTAGCCTTGTTTGTGTGTAGTCTTACTATTGGGTTAATCCCCACTATACACACTACTAGTAAAGAAACATGGATCATGGATGTATTAGTTACGAAAAACATAATACAAGGACTAAAAATGCTATTCATCCATAATATACGATTAAGCAGTGGGCATGGGCCCACTTGGAAACGCAGAGTATCTCTTCTTTTGTGGCGACCAGCCAATGCGACTTTTGGATGTGGGCTTCCAGCCCGTCATCTGTGGGCCCCAGCCTTTTGCTTTTCGCCATAAAGACCGCTGGCGGCAACATTCATTCATTAATAATAATCACGTAATTAGTCGTATAATCAAGAAAATTACCATTTACCGCCATAGAAACATGGCGTCGACAAAACAGTCAACGAAGTTAATAAACAAAACTGGAATTCCAGCGCAGGCAGCCATTCCTCAAACAAACTTGGAGAGGAGCTTCCTCGATCGATTCCCTAATATTCAAAACCCTTCTCTCTCTCTCTCTCTCTCTCTCTCTCTCCCCCCATTTTCTCTTCTACCAAACACGCCACAAAAGCCCCATATCTGATATCACTGTCTTTCACCAATTCTCAGGGAATCTCTCTCTCTCTCTCTCTATCCCTTTTCTCTGGATCGTCACAACTACTACCCGATTCGGAAGAGATCAGGTTTCATCCGGTTTCTTCCCCTTTTGCCGTCCGCCCCAATTTCGGATTCTCTCAGGTGCGTTGTTTCTTTACCATTTCTTTCGTTTCCGTTTGCTGGGCGTAGGCAAAGTTGCGAGCTTTATTGTTTTAGGAAAACAGAGGGAGGAAGGAAAATGGTGTATTCATTTCGTTGTTTGATGTGTCCATATCGTGCGTTTTTTGAAGCTTTTTCGCAATTGGGTATGTTTTGATTCTATGGTATTTCGTATTGAATTTGAGCTACCCGATTGAGGAAAACCATAACCTTTTTAGCTTTTCATTTCCCCCCCTCAGTGCGAGGGAATCGTCTTTTTGTATCATTATGCGTTCGTGGGCGAGTTTTTGAGGAATTCTGATTCTGATTCCAAGTTACTGGAATAAACCGAGCAATAATTCAACCCAATTGTCTGGTCTTATATTAGTCCGTGGTCATCATTTTCTGGAGTAGTTGGTAAGCTTGCTTTTCTTGCTTTCTTTCTTCTTTCAGGAGGGCCTTTGTAAATTGTGCCTAATTCTTGGCCTAAATCTGGGGGAACTTAAGAGAAAAGAAGGATGAGAAGAAGTGTTCGATCGATACGCCACTTAGCTTCTGCTTTTCAAGAATGCAGTAGTGCATCGGCTAGATTGGTTGGTGGAAGAAGGCACATGATTTTGATACAGGCCAACTCTGCCTCTCTGCATACATTACTCACTAACACAGACAGTAATAGATTTCTTTCAGACCCTAATAAATTCGTCATCTTTAGAGCTTTGTCTACTGATGCTGTTGAAGGAGTTCCTAATTCAGGTGAAATTTCCACCTGTTCTTGGTGGGTTTGCTGTAATTGATAATTTACTTGGTTCATTGTTGGAAGAAGCGTTTGGAATTCGGTTTCTCATTTGCTTGCGGAATTGGATTGAACTGGTTTCAATTGCAGATGGCCACAAGGCAGGGCCGCTTGTGGAATATGAAAGAAGGATTGCCGCTGGAGAACTTCTGGATGGCGATAGCTGTCAGGTTATATCTCTTGTTCTGTATTTGTATTTTGAGAAGAATGAAGGAACTTTTGTACCAAACTAGGCCTAATCATGTACTTTTTTTTCTATAGTTAGGAACATTGACAGAACTGCAAAGGCTCTTTGATGAGATTGTTGAGTCGGCTGATGCCTGCAAGTTGGATCGATATTCTACTTCTGATAAATCGGGAAGGTTTGCTGAACATTCTACCCTACTTTCTGGTACCTACATACATATGATGATGAGCATTGTTTGATGTTGGTTGCTTTCTTTCGGTGAAACAGGAGCCGGTGGTTATGGTCACGCTTCATTCCACAGTCGACGTATTCACCTGTGAAAGGACTCTATCTTTATGGAGGTGTAGGCACTGGGAAGACCATGCTGATGGATTTGTTCTATGATCAATTGTAAGCATCCGACAGAGTTGTCCCTTTTGCTTTGTACATACTCAGCCATTGTCAAGTTACTGGATTTAACTCTTCGTGTGTTCCTACATCAGGCCTTGCAGTTGGAGAAAAAAGAGGATCCATTTCCATGACTTTATGCTCAATGTCCATAGTCGCTTGCAAGTAAGAATCTGAGCTTCTGACGTAATGCTGTGGTAGAGTGAGGGACTCAGAGGGGTTGTGAATTTGCGATTTGTAATTGATGATTCTTGTTTTGCGTTTGCCAGAGACACAAAGGTGTGTCAGATCCACTTGAAGTAGTTGCAGGGGAGATCTCTGACGAGGCAGTTTTGTTATGTTTAGATGAGTTCATGGTATGTTTGGTTTCACATGATCACTAGTACTACTGATGCTGAGTTATCTAAAAGCATACTTGATTAGTGTCAACTCTAAGTACGACATTTCCATTTACAGGTGACTGATGTAGCTGATGCATTGATACTGAATCGTCTCTTCGGACATCTATTCAGCAATGGTGTTGTAAGTCACTATGCAGAAAGACTTGAAATTGCTTTGCTGGAAAAAGTTTGGAGCTTCAACTTAGAACTTGTTTGTTTATGCATGATGGAGGCAAGTACAGATTCTTGTTGCCACTTCAAATCGTAACCCTGATAAGCTCTACGAAGGTGGACTACAAAGGGATCTATTTTTGCCCTTCATCCAAACTCTGAAGGACAGATGTGTGGCTCATGAAATTGGCTCGTCAGTAGACTACCGAAAATTGGGCTCGGTGAGCTTCCAGTTGATTCTATGTTATAAGGCATTCCCTTTTATTTCTCTGGATTGTCATGTAGAACTCTGAATGGTCAACAGGCTGAGCAAGGATTCTACTTCGTCGGGAAGGATATATCCAGCCTCCTAAAGAAGAAGTTTCAGGAATTGGTTGGTGAACACAAAGTTGGGCCCGAAGAGGTGGAAGTAGTGATGGGAAGAACACTGCAGGTTTGTAGGGGTTTTTCCCCAATTTGCTTGAGATCATGTAAAAAGGAAACCTTCTTTCATTCAGCCTCTTATGTTCTTTCTCCATGGTGGTTAGGTTCCACTCGCTGCTGATGGATGTGCATACTTTCAGTTTGAGGAACTCTGTGATAGACCTCTTGGAGCTGCAGACTACTTTGGATTGTTCAGTGAGTTTATCTTAAACCAAATTAAATTGCATATTCATGTCGATGCAAACAATCTAAACAGTTTGATTTGAGAACTATTTGATGTACAAAATTACACCTGATAATCTGCATGGATCTTGGAAAAAATCATTGAACTTTGATTCTTAACGAATTTAATTGTGACAAAATAGTCACTCCTCTGTCCATCACCTTCAAGTTCTGTTGTCCAAATTGTCGATACTTGATAGCAGTGTGTCAACTCACCTATGTCAATGATGAAAAACAAGGTCATCTGGACTCTCTTTCCTTGGATAAATTCTTGCAGCCAACATTTCCTGTTACTTCTTTCAGAGAATTTCCATACACTTGCACTAGAAGGGATCCCAATCTTAGGACTCAACAACAGGACCGCAGCATATCGGTTCGTCACATTAGTCGATGTATGCCCTCTCGACCTTCGTCCTGATATCGTGCTCGCATATAATATTTAAGAACACTAAACTCATTCTTACATTTCCAGGTTATGTATGAAAACCGGGGGAGACTGTTATGCACAGCAGAGGGAACTCCATTGGAGCTCTTCCAAAAGATAGTGACGATATCTGATGCCAAACAAATGGCCCCTAGAACCTCTACCCGATCAAGGAGGAGCGACGAGGCTGATCTCTGTGTTGATAATGAACTCGGGTTCGCCAAAGATCGAACCATAAGCAGGCAAGTACTTTGCATCCTATATCACACAAATCCCACTATTCTGTCTCTGATTTGGATCCTGAACTTCGCAAACGAACAAATGTAGGTTGACTGAGATGAACAGCAAGGAGTATTTGGAACACCATGCTACCATGATAGAGGAGAAGCAGCAGCAGCTATCACAAGAAGCTGCATCAGTACAGCTATGAGGTTAAGATGATGGCGAAAAAAGGCAGTTCGTTTGTATACAAAATACACATAAAATACTGGCCTTGTTGGAGCTCTGATGTTATTGGTTTAGATGAATAATGAGCGCATGTATCAACTTACATCAGCTGTAAATTAACAATTGTAGCATATCAGAATGATTGTGATAAAGCCCTTGTTCCTCAGCTGGCTGCTGTATTTTTTTTTTTTTTGGGTAGGAAGGCAGACGCCAATGGCGTCTTAATTCGTATTAATTAAACGTTCGTGGGCGATGCCCATTACATCAAAAGAAAACCAGTGGCTAAGCCCCAGATCAGAAATATCAAAACGATGGGCTCCAAAATGAACGCCATGGCCTTTGTGAGCTAAAAAAATCAGCAGCGTTGTTGCGCTCCCTAAAAACATGGGAAATCTGTACATCCCAATCCAAAGACAGAAGTTTGTTGATCTCGAGTGTGAGAAGACCATGTCTGAGTTACATCATCCTTAGTTGAGTCAAGACAAAATAATGTTAATCTGAGTTACATCATCCTTAGTTGAGTCAAGACAAAATAATGTTAATCGTTGTATTTGATTTAGAGTAACAGAATAAACCTCTTTTTGTTCTTTATACATCCTGATGAGGTAGACTGTCGTGCTATCATGCTTCTTAATCTTATGGAACCGTAACAAGATTAATGACTGTTAATCTGGCAAATTGGCTCCATAAATGAGGATGAGGTGTTCCGAAGGGCACTTTGCTCGAAATCGTAAATCATGAATATCTGGCAAAATCACGAGAGCATGTAAGCAGGGGTTTCTCGAGTCCTTCAAAGGAGAGATCAGACAAAGATTAGTCTATATGTAGTTGACAAACTCATAAACATATGTTTATTTGAAATCTTTCAAATGTAACTGCGGGTTGCGACTCAAACCCTCTTCAATACTCTAACTTTATACATGGGGAAAAAGATTTTTACCTGTTTGGTAACTAAGAGTAAGACTGGAACTCATTTTAGTTATTGAATTGGACATAAAGAAAGTTCTCTCTTTAGGGGTCAAGTTTTGATTGGGATCAAATATGTTAAATTTTAGACCCTTACTAAAGACATGGAATATATTATTGAAAGAAAGTGAGAAAAGTCGTAATTATGCAAGAAATCTAACTCCAGCAAGTCACACAAGACTCTAGAAAATAGGATCAGTCCTTCTACCTAAAATAAAGATCCCTCAATTCCGGCCAATGATTCTGTTAGGTCACAAGCAAAACAAAATGTGTTTTGATCCTTTTTTATATTCCTAATTGTCTTGTTGAACTCTGTTTTGCTGGTGTTTGTCCATTGTTTTCTTTATAATTTTTTTTAAATGCCTTCTTTGTTTGTAAGAGGGAACAATTCATTAAAAACAGGATCAAATTGGGCAGACACTAAGAATAAGTGATTTAAAAATAGTAAATTACACTATTTAATTGGTACTTCTTAATTCTTATAGTAAGTATTCTTCACAATGGTGAAAATGACATTTGAATCAGTGGTTGATCTATCCAAACCCAATGTTTTCATATTCAGGATCCACCCATCATTGCCAAATTCAAAACGTTCGCATATTTATCGTATGACGAAATGATATCGATATACCAATAGTCTCCGTAAAAATTCTACTAAAGAATAACTCAAACCGCAAGATATCAGAATTCACCCGGTGTGCTTTCGAGTTCGATTCACATGACCTACCATTTGAAGGAAAAGCACTTGTTGACCATCAACGAAGCTATAAATATGAAATACCGCTTTTATAGATTCGTCAAGTATTCGTAGAAGCTGAAATTCTCGAGCTTCAACCATAAGTTACCGTCAAACAAGAATAAAACCCAAAAATCCTTGGTTGTATAAACATAAAAAAACACCAACGAAAAGTATAAACATATAAGAACATACAAGTAAGCATAGATTGTAAAACTACCCACATAAAACAATTTTAGGTGCATGTCAAGACAAACATAAGTAAAGACCTAATGAACACTAACTTGGCCATATATTTTAAAGACCTTTTTAAGAATCAAATACCATATGATAAACGGCTTTATAATTACACAAACAAGAAGCCTAACTATATAAATACATCTACACATCAAATTGCTTTAAGAAAACCGGTGAAGCTAACTAAGGAGTTCCATTTGCCTCTTCCGATCATCCTCTCTTCTACTTAGTTGGTTCTCATCTCCATCTCGAGGTAATTTTTTCCCCATCTCTTAAGTATATATCATGATAGAGTAATACGCAAGGATTGTAATATCATATCGTTAATCAAACTGCATTTCTTGAATCACATGTTATTTCTAAGGGTGGTAATCGTAGTATGTAATAAGGAGTATGTCTTCGGTTCACGAGGGTACATCGTTATGGACAGAAAAGGTTAACTGAATTTCGAATGAAGTTTATGGAAGATTGATGATAGATAGACATGGATGATTGGATTTGGAGATGATTAGAGCAATTTCTATATTTTCAATTTTCATGTGATGTGCAGAGAATGGCAAACGGCAGTGGGAGCCAGAAGACGATAAGGAAAGCCATTGGGGCTCTGAAAGATACAACCAAGGTTGGATTGGTGAAAGTAAATAGTGAATACAAGGTAACTATAATCCATTAAAAATATCACATTTCATTCATCAAATTCTGAAATGAGGTCATATGACTATAATTGGGTGATTTAGTGGAGGTTCGAGGTGAGTTTTCCGAATTTATTTTCACACCCATTTCTAAAATTTATTCGCACTCTCCTCATACCCTCGATTGTGGGGTTTTTTCTTTACCCTCCGTAATTAGCACGACTTTCCAATTGTTTTTTTCCCGGGTTGGGCAGGGAATTGATGTTGCAATTGTGAAAGCGACGAGCCACGACGTCGTACTACCAAAGGAGAAACACATCAGGAGTGAGTAACTAAGAGGGGATTGATTAAGAATTTGAGAAATTCTAACTAATTAATCATTTGGATTAAGTATATGATCATTGATCTAATTATGGGTCTCCCTCTGTTCTCTTTTGTATGCAGCAATTTTTAGTGCTCTTTCTGCAACAAGCCCTCGTGCCGATGTCACACGCTGCATTCATCGCCTCATCAAGCGCCTCTCCAAAACACATAACTGGACGGTACTAATTATGAAGTATTAGCTGTCTCATTCATCGTCGACAACAATAACTAATTCTCGGTCGAAAAATATGCAGGTTGCGTTGAAGACGCTGCTAATTATTCATCGAGCAATTAGGGAAACTGATTACAACTTCCCAGAGGAGCTGATAAGTTACAGCCGAGGGAGCAATTTGATGCTGAACTTGTCTCACTTCCGAGATGTCTCCACCCCAGAAGGTATACACTCTAATTAGTTCCAACAAATGATCACTCGTTAATGCCATCACATTATAGTGAAAATGATCAATTTTTTTTACACATGTGTATTGATTAATGTTCTCTTTTTGGCAATGGTGGTGGATTAAGCTTGGGATTACTCTGCTTGGATCCGATGTTATGCCCTGTACCTCGAAGAGCGGCTCGAATGCTATCGAGTTATGAAGTACGACATCAACAGAGATCAACTGGTAAGTGCTTCGGTAAACAAACTAGTTTATCACATCGGGATAGGGGTGTTCGTATTAGGAGGATGTTTGTTTTCTGTTTGAATGCCATTCTTTGGCATAAATTACAATTTGTGATTCACTTCCGCTTCAATACATGCACGTATCATTTATATGAAAAGCACCGATTCGATCAAGTTTGAATGTTGGATAGTTTATTATGGAATCACAATTATCTTATATATCGAGCGACGAGCAGTTGTGACGTTGAATTTATTTTATAAACTTACTAATTCCTTTTTAACTAGGGAACCAAAATGCTGGACACCCCTGGCTTGCTTGAGCAACTGCCTGCCATGCAGCAATTACTATTTCGCCTTCTTGCTTGCAAGGTAAATGAATAATTCCACAAATAATAAGTTCATAAGACATGCATAATTACTTCTACTCTAATAATTTTTTTTATTCAATTTATCATATGATTTTGAGAAATTAAATTTATATTCGGTAATTGGATCGTCTTGAAACAATGCAGCCAGAAGGAGCAGCTTCGCGCAATAGCTTGATTCACTATTGTCTTTCGATAGTAAGTAGTTAATTAACTATAATTAAAATCGTATTTAGTTACTATATGATCCGTATTTAGTTTTTTTATTAGTTTTAATATCGCAATTAATCGATTTATTCCGGTTTGTTGCAAAAGATTGCCCGTGAGAGTAGTAGCTTGTACATTGGCATCAGCAATGGAATTCTCAACTTGGTTGACAGGGTGAGACTTTTGGCTATATGAAATTGATCTTCAAGTAATTAATTTGGTGTAGTTGTATTAGTATTTTAGTAATTGATTAGTAAGATTGGTAATGAAATTGAAATTGTTGTGTTGTAGTTCTTTGAGATGCGACATTCTAATGCCACTAAAGCACTTGAGATTTACAAGAGGGCTTCAAGTCAGGTAGAGTCATATCACTAATGAGCACAATGACTCATTGAGCTTGATTAATAATGGATAACAATTAATTACATTTTTGATAATTTTTTTTTATGTTTAGGCGGAAAAATTATCGGATTTCTTCCAAATATGTAGAGCTTATGATTTTGGTCACGAATTGAGGCTTACGAAAATCGAGCAGGTATTCATCCATTTTCTTTACTCTTCATTTTCTAACGATACTCGAGATATTCACATGTATTTTTATGAAAATTCTAGTTAGTTTGAGCATTTTGTAACTTCATCTTTTTTCTTTTCTTTAAAAGCTGAATATCCTACACGACAAACAAGGTGTAGTCTAGTTGATTCCTATGCATCCATGAAATTTTCATAAGATCGTATTTGATTATTACGTAATTCTCTGTTTGCCCTTCTCTCTTCTTTATGCGTAGGAATCGATATTATATCTATATGTGTGTTGAATATTGTGAATTGCAACGTGTACAAGTATGCTTGGTTTACTACTAAGTAATGAGAGAGTTTTGTTGGTTGGATGGATGCAAATGCAGGCTCCAAAATCATTTGTGACCGCCATGGAGGATTATGTAAAACAGAGTTCACCCAGTTCTTCGTTACAAAATCGAACGGTAAGTACTTTTTTCTTCTTCTTCTATCTATACAAAGTTTGAATTTTGGAACCAACATCGTTAATAAGGAAAGGTACCACCTTTTCTTTCTGAATTTTGATTGGATTTTGCTCTATCCTCCATGAAGAGAACTGATGACCGTCAAGGAGTTAGCCCAAAATCCACTGTCTCCACTCCAGAATCGGTTTCCCCTGCTGGAGACAATTATAAGCAAGAAGTTCCTACAAACCTTTTCGACTCAGAGCCTGATTCCCCACCTCCCCAAAAGCAAGAAGAAATTGCTGCCAATAATCTCATGGTAAGTAGGCCACTAATGCTGAACATCTTATAACTACATTTTTCAACTTCATGAAATCTAGATAATGTGTGTAACTCTCTCTCTCTCTCTCTTTTGGTCTATATCTACTAGGATGATCATTCAGACGACTCGACACAAGGAGAATTCAAATCGGAGAAGCTAGCGGTTAAGATTGTTCGCTTCGAATCATCATTTTTCGGTATTGTTTCCCTTTCTTCGTGCACAATTGACTCTCACGTACGCGAGGCTAGTTCGTATCAATAACTCAAAAGTCTTACCTAGATTTAAAACTGGATGTTATACCATACTCTCTCGTAATTGTAGAATGATTTTTTTTGTTTTGTTTTTCGAATTGTTTGCAGACAGTCCTCGTGGGAAGACGGAGACCAACAACAATAACACGAACAACGCGACGTTGTCTCAAGCAACGAGCTGGGAGCTAGCTCTAGTTACAGCATTCAGTTCCGATGAAACCGGTACTAACCCGGTGGCTGTTAGTGACACATTGGTGAGTCTAGTCTCTGAATTAGCTAACTCTCTATAGAAACAAAACCTCTTTTTAACCTATCCTTAACCATCATCATTTCTCTCACTCCTTCTAGGCTGGTGGATTTGACAAATTGACACTTGAAAGCTTATATGAAGCAAGCCCAGCTGAGAAACCAAATGAAATCAGTAGTTCCTACAATGTGGGGTGTGATCAAATGGCATTCATGAATCCTTTTGGTGATTCCATGAATCAAGCCTACAACAACAATGGTAATGTGCAACTTAAGCCAATGGGTGGTGGTCAAGGGGAGGCTTTCAACATGTTTCCACCATTGCCACAAATAGGTGAAGAGCCATTGAAGGGTGGTGGGATTGATGGTGGCTCATCATCAGTTGATTTCCTTGGGAACCCTTTCCTTGATTCACTTCATGCTCCTACTTCTTACCATGTTGCTCCTTCACAAAGCTCATTTTCTGCAATAATGTAGGGGTTTGCATATATATAGTTGGGGATGAAACTATTCTATTACTTTGTTACTCATTCTTTTTAGTTTGTGGAATGTTGTATGTAAGAAAGTGGATATTTGTATGATGATATAAGAGAAATCATGAGTGTTATGTAAGATTATTGTTACTTCGTTATCATGTTGTATCCTTCCTATTCTTGAGCAAGTATTAAATCATGCGAGTTGATGTGACTTGAATACATATACAAATTTCTTTTCGAATTTTTCTTATAAGATCTTTTGAGTTAATTTTTTTTTTTCCGATTCTCGAATTCATACAAGAAATGCTACGGAGATTGCACACCATTGTACCAAACAACAACAGGAGTGAGGCGTACATATGTCTCGTTGAGGAACTGAACCAAAAGAGGCAATAGGCAAGGAATACGATGATGAAGATGTTCAAAACTTCCCTATCTAAACAAATACTATATGGAGTAATACTTAATTGACCAATGACAATCTAACTCATATACATTTTTGGGAAACGAAAAATGGTAGGATGACAATTTTGACACAACTCATGAGTAATTAATTATTTAATGGTATGAAATTCAAATACAAGATAAATGTGTATATATTTATAGTTTTATACACATACTTACTTATTTGGATTGGTTCGATTTTTAAATCATGGATTTGGGTTTCTACTAAAATTTAGTACCTAAACTTATATTTAGGCATAGAAGTCCAAGAAATCAATGAAATTTTTTATTTCGAGAGTAAAGTTTTCATCCTTACAATTTTATATTGAAACTTTTTAAGGTTTACAAATCGGTCACATTTTTATATGTAGTTTAAAAAATCTCATATAAATGTGTAAACTCATATCCAAATAGAATAAGTATGAAAAGGAATTGTCTAAATGGTCAGGCATATTTTTTTTTCTCGATTCCATATGTAGCATATGCCCAATCAAGTGAAGTACCCTACTAACATTATATTGAATGTGTATTTAATGATCACTGTAGGCTTTGTAACAAAAAATGGTTACTAAATCTGAACTTTTAACAGTATTTGAACACAAGTGTCGCACTCTGCTTCGTTTCATCCATTTTATCATTAATTTGACTCGGCACGTTAAACAAACCTGTTATGACATGTTGGTTGTTGTTGCAACCAATCTAACTATAGATTGAACAAAATGAGATATGCTAAATGACAATGTTTTTTGCCATTCATTGTCATTGAGAACCAAACTTTAGTTTTCTTATATTACTCTGCTTTTTCACTGACATAATTTTGTTTGGAATGGGAATGCGGAGGAATATCATGTTGAATGTGGTGTACTACAAGGACGTACGCCAAGGTGAAGATGGGGGACGACCATATAAGATCATCTTCAGGCCTATAAGAGCAACGGCGGAGGCTATCATCAGCTCTCATCCGTTGCTCGATCTCCTCTGTTTCTCCACCTCAGTTGTGAAAGTTCTGGTAGAACTTGGTTGTTTTTATTTAGTTTCTGGTGATGTTTTAGCTTTAAACTATTTGCTTGTGAAGTATGATGTTTAGGGATGGCAAAAATATCCGTAACCGTGGATATCCGCCCGAATCCAGCCTAATCGGGTAGGGTAAAACCCGAATCCGAAGGACATTTAGTGGGTACGGGTAAAATTCGAATCCGAATATTGCGGGTAATGGGTGGGCATGTGTTTCTCACTATCCAACCCGAACCCGCCCGATTATACACATGCATATGTATTTTGTCTAGAAATAATCATTATTTTTCTCTAACATTTTTTTTATAATGCTGATTAAAAATACACATTCCACAGTGGCAGATGGGGTCACAAGATTTGACCCATGCCAAACAGCAAAGGAAAGAAAAAAAAAGGAAAAGCAAGGTTAGATGGACAGACCATCTCAACCAGCAAAACATAGGGAACAGGAAGAGAAGAAAAGGAGGAGAAGGCCAAGGCAAAACACAGCAAATAGAAGTTCACAGCCGAACCCACAAGCCTAACAAAAGAAAGGATGCAACCAAAAACAGGGAAAAATTAAACTCTTCTAAGCCTCTCATTGAGCCACTGTGAACAAACAACCTTGTCCACCTTGTTGTATGCAGAAATCCAATCCATAGCAGCCTTACACACTTGCATGGAGATGTTTCTGGCTGTGCTACTGGAGTTATTGAAAATGCGATGGTTTCTCTCGAGCCAGATCTGCCAACAGGCTGAATGGAGCACGACAAACACAAACCAAGCGTTTACATTATCTGGAGTCTTCGCTGGCCAACTCTGCAGAACCATGGAAACATCACCAGTCGGAGAATCCACTAGCGGGCAAGCTCTTTTGATTCCCGACCATACTTCCCGGACAAAAGCACAATCCACGAACAGATGATTAGCGGTTTCCTCTTGCAATTTACACAATTCACACCTATTTGCCAGAACAAGGCCGCAATCCTTCAACTTGTCAACCGTACGTAGCTTCTTATGCGATAAAGTCCAAAGGAAAAAGCACACTTTGGTGGGAACAATGAACTTCCAAATAGCCGCGACCGGGTAGTTAGACACCCCCGGAAATTGATCGTCCGCCAAAGTCATGTACATGGAAGAAACAGAGAAACCAACATCTGGGTTTGGAGTCCAAATCAGCCTACCGGGGCCCTCAGTAACACGAAACACAACATTAGAATTAAGAAAATTCAAAAGTTCAATGCGCTCTCGCTCCGCAGCCCCCCCCCCCTTAACGAATGATTTAACGGAAAATCCCACCTTATAGTCTCACCTGAGCGATGATACGTTTCTGAGACCCGAGCAGCAGGGAAGATGAAAGGTTCTTCAGGGATAATCCGAGCTGGTTTGGGACTACTTTGTCAGGCACTGAGATGATTTTTCGCTGGTCCAAACGACTCCAAGATCTTAAATCTAAGATAAAATATTATATTTATATGGTAAATATAAAATATGTTAGAGAATGTATTTATCTTGATTTTAGGTGTTGGGGGTCTCTTATCCGGTTTTTTACCTCAAATCTAAGCCCGAATATGAGATTGCATATTTGCTATCCAGTCCTAGTCCGGTCCTGGTCCGAGTTATACGGTCCGGTTTCGGGTAAAACCAAACAGTCCGGGACCAAATAGCCAGCCCTAATAACCAATGCAGTTAAAAGCGCGATTCTACCTAGAAGCGGAAAATGGGTAAAATCGTAAAACGTAGAATCAAAGCGTAAAATCGTAAGTTTTTGACGCACCCTATAAAATAGCTAAAATATGTTAAGTACAACATATAGTATGTAAAATGTGAGTGTGTAGATTTTAGATAAGTGGATAACTACATATAATTCATAATTAAAATGTAATATCTAACACATAAACTAATTTGCGTTGACTGAAAAGTAGAGAAAACTCATATTATCTTAATAATAAGCTCATAAATGTCGATCGTAACCTGTAAACGAGCTTGAGAATCCAAATTCTCATAAGCTTGTTTGAGTTTACATAATTACATACGATCAATTACCCATAAACTTTCATCGTAACCCAGGTAAGAGCCACAGGTGAAGATTAAGGGAGAAGACTGATAGAAGGTCAACGGCTGTTGAGAATACCATTAGGTGTCTTTTCAACCTAATTGAAGCCCCCTATTTCGACACTAGTGGTAGAACGAGTGATGAATCATGTTTTTATTATTTTTTTATTTTTTGTTGATATGTCTCCAAAATTACATCATTTTGGGCCAATTAGCATATTTTTATGAGATGATCAAAATCGTATAAAAACGATTCAGAATTGTGATTTTACCGATTTTAAGCGATTTTATCGATTTTACCCATGTTTTTACCAGTTTTTGTGACTAAGCGATTTTAGGTAGAAACAAAAACGTTTTGATGACCTTGATACGTAAAAACGTAAGTTTTTATGTTTTAATGCGCGATTTTGACTGCACTGCTAATAACTAGGGGTTGTTTCCTTCATAGATTTGGGTAGCAAATCCAATTCATCACAGATTTGAAAAAATCGACTGTTTGTTTGCAATTTATATATGGACTAAATTTGCAGAGTCCACTAATTTCGATGATATAAATTCTTATTTAGTAGATCATGTATACTTGTAAATTTCATATTTGCATTTATCGGTGTGGGATTTGGGACATGACCTTCAATACATGATGATAATTTACTTTTATATATGTCATTTAGAAATAAAAATGCTTTAGTTAGGATAATAAGGTTACTTATGTTTAAAAGTTATCAATTCATAACAACAAACTCCATGAACAAATCTATCAAGTCCGTCACAAATCTTGGATTTTTCAAAACTCACCTATTATAACAAAAGACTCTCATTTTTAAAACTCAACAAGCAAACAACCCTCCTCCAGTCCGGCGACACCAAACAGCTTTGTTAGTAGGGGTGGCTATACGGTCTGGTTAAATTGGCACAAATTGATCCAGTCCGGTCTTTTTGAAAATATAAGGACCAAAGATTGAATTGGATACAATCCGGTCTTGATCCGGTCCGGTCCCAATTCTGTCTTGATTTTATATTGAGCTTGTGGGGATTTGAGAGACCTATGACCTGAAAGGGTGAGGAGTTGGTTAAGCTTTGCACTAAGTGCAAAGGTTTGTCATCGTTTATGCAAATTACCCTTAAGTTTTGGGTGTTGAGTTCTCTTATCCGGTTTTTGTCCAGTTTTTGATCTGGTCCCGAACGGTTTTTTACCTCAAATCTAAGCCCAAAGATTGGATTGTTTACTATCCGATCCCGGCCCGGTCTCGGTCCGGATTATACGGTCCGGTTTCGGGTAAAACCAAAAAACCCGGACCAAATAGCCAGCCCTATTTGTTAGGAGCTTCACGATGGAGAAGAGAGTTGGGAAAGGAACGGGAGAGAGCAGCGAAGTTGAGATCGGCGAGGCATCGATTGAAAATGGAGGCCAGAGAATTGGAGACTAATGTCGAGAAACATGCAAGCAGTAGAGAAGGAATGTCCCGACGCAAAACTGAATTGAGGTTGAGCACCATCTACCGACCGCAAATAAGAGACGCAACAATCCTAGGGATTGATGAGTAGCTACGGTGGGGTTTTGTGAGGTCAAACCCTAGGGAAGGATGCAGGGAAATTAGGGTTCGTTTATGTGGTGTGGATATGTGATTTGTGGAAGGAAAGAGCTAGCCAATTAGTTATCGATGCACCAATTTCGTATCGGTTTGTAAACCGATAACCGCCATTAGCTAATTACTCAAAATAGCCAACAGAAATACGACATCCAGTTTTTTGATTTTCGAGCAACTGACTTTTTCGATTCAATTTTTCGGTTAATAGACTAGCCGACAAACCTATTATCACCCCTGATTTCGCATATTTGGACATAACCCTTTTCTTCATGGCTAAATTGCACGTTTGGTCACTCAAATTATATAAATCTTTCACGTTTGCCACCCGAATTACTTTTCTTTCTTATTCGCCACTAACTTTACGAATTGTTTCACCGTTAGTCACCGGCCGTTAATCTCCGTCAGATTCCGTTAACTCCGTTAACTTTTTGATGATGTGGCAAACATAACTATTGAGTGGGCTCACAAAAAGGCTGAGTCATACAAATTGACCGCCTAGTCAGCCACATCCAATCCAATTGACCAAAACTTAATACTTAATTTTTCTACATTTTCTTAAGAGCTAAAAAGAAAAAGGAAATTAAATCACAATCCTTCTCATCCCCTCTTTCGTCTTACCTTTCCACTTCTCCTTCTTCTCCTCCACTCGCCGCCGTCCGAATCATCTGAAAGAAACCCCAAACCCTTGAGACCTCCTCTCAACCTTCCTCTGTTCTTCGTCCAGGAAGCGCCACTCCGTCACCGTGTTGATCGAGGGCAACAACATCAAGCTCGCCTCTGCCGGATCCGAGAGCGTTCGCTAGCTATGGATCTCGCAATTGAAGCTGGTGTTGGGGATCCCGTCATCTCCCCCACAGCCGTTGCCGCCTTAAGCTATCTTCCCTCGCAGGCCCCATCCATCCGAGCTTAGGCAGCATCCGTCTCGCTTCCGTCTCCCTAGCCGGCAATCGCCTCGATGGCTCAATCCCTCCTTCATTGTCGACCCTCCAAACCTCCAGCTCCTCTCGAAATTCCCTTACCGGAACCATCTTCATCCCTTAATCACCTAGTCCTCCATTGGTACAGTCTATCGACCCCAGCCACAACTTGTTATCCGACCAAATCCCTACAAGCAAAATCACGAGTAGCTTCCCTACATCGGATGGAGTCGACGACTTCTCAAACATCCCTTCCTTTTCTATCATCATCACCCCTTTTTTCCGCGTCCAATTCGTCGTCTACTGTGGAGGGGGATGAGTCGTCGTGGTTGAGATTGAAATTGAAATTGAGGGCGGCGGAGGAAGGGGATGGGTTTTGGTTGTGGGCAACAGAGGATGGGTTTTCTATCATCATCACCCCTTCTTTCCGCCCCTGTTTCTCTCTGGCCCGGGTCCCCAATTCCCCAATTCGAAAGACGCGACTTCTAAGAGCGAACGGTGTTCCGAGGCGGAGGATGGCGACAATGCGTGAGGGTGGTAGGGACTGTGATAATGCGGGTGTCGCCTCGGCGTAGAAGAGAGAATTGGTTCAAGGGCACGAGATTATCTGGCCTCCGTAACTACATGAAGCAGCTTAGACCCGTCGGTGGTTGTAGCCGGCGGGGCGGTGGAAGGCGATGGCTCCATTTCCAGAGGTCGGCGATGGATGGAAGAGGAAAGGGAATTTAGAAATTGTATTATTGATTGGGTTGGGTGAGGCTGACGAGGCGGTATTTTTTTTTTTAATTACATGTCACTAAGTTAACGGTCCAATCAACATTTTTGTTTGCCACATCATCAGAAAACTGACGGAGTTAACGGTGTCTAACGAAAACTAACGGTCGGTGACCAACGGTGAAACGATTCGTAAAGTTAGTGGTGAATAAGAAAGAAAAGTAATTCAAGTGGCAAACGTGAAATATTTATGTAATTCAAGTGACCAAATGTGTAATTTAGCCTTTTCTTCATTCTTACTTTCCACCCAAGAAGAAACCAAAATGAAAATAGCTAAACCTTTGGTATAAGTAGGTAGGAGGATGAGTTTGGTTAAATTTCAAAGTTTCTGGCTTATTCCCAAGCCCCAACCCCAACCCCAACCCCAAACCCATCACTGCACTGCAGGCAACCTTCACATCATCGTACAACAGCAATAGACAAATGGAGAGAAGAAGAAAAAAAGAAAAGTGTGCTTCCCAAAGAATACACCACTCCTCCCTGCTCTGTTCTGCTCTACAAACCCACCACCAACAACATTCACACACTTCACTGTCCTCCCTTCCTCCATATCTAACTCCCCCCTTTCCTTAATGTTGTCGTCGTCATCCACCGGCGGCGAAGACTCCAGTCACCACGGGGCCGGCGGCGGCAACACGACTTCCTCTTCCGATCAGTACCCTGACCCCGCTTACCCCACAACATTCCCAAACCCCAGAACCATGGAAGAAGTGTGGAAAGACATCAACTTGTCCTCCCTCCACGACCAATGCCCCACTCCCGGCGGCGACCATCAGCACCACCACCACAACCATAACCGCAACCACCACCACCGCCGCCATCAAAATCAAAACTTTATCTTCCAGGACTTCTTCTCTCGCCCTTTCGACCAAGACCCACTTCCCTCTCGATTCCCTCCCTCCTCCCCTGCCTCCGCCGCCGCCCCTCCGCCATCCAGAGATTCTCCCCTGCCCACACACGCCACCGTGCTGAGCCTGCACTCCGGCTCCGCCGGATTACCGCCGGCCTCAACCCATTTGCAGCCACACCAGATGGTTTCCACTGAATACCCTATTCCCTTCAACAACACCCAATTCGACGATGGGCTGGACTGCTCTGCCTCGCTGCTGAACCCTTTTCAGAGGAAAAGGGTTCAGGATTCCGATGACGGCGGCGGCGGTGGAGGGGATCGCCGGCATAAGCGTATGATCAAGAACCGCGAGTCCGCCGCCAGATCCAGAGCTAGAAAACAGGAAACTTTACCGTTCCCCTTTCCCCTCTCAATTCCTTTTCCCCCCGTAGTTTCCCCCCAATTTTGAAGTCTCGGGATTTTCCCCCTCTGTTTTCCTCCTCTTGCAGGCTTATACCAACGAATTGGAGCTTGAAGTGCAGCATCTGCTTGCCGAAAATGCCAAGCTAAAGAAGCAGCAAGAAGAGGTACCAAACCAATCTACTTATCCCTCTCTTTCCTTGTTGTTTCCATATTCTGCAACAAGAACTGTCAATTTCTTTCGGTTTAGATATGTTACACGAAAAAGGTAACAACCAACAACAACAGCAAACCCACATGGCCTTTGTTTGTTTGCTTGTTTTGGGCATATAGCTGCGGGTGGCGGCAGCGTCGTCTCAAGTTGCCAAAAGGAGCACCCTCTTTCGGACGTCAACAGCACCATTTTGAGCACAAGGGGAATGGATATTTAGCTGCCCTGGCTGCGCGCTTTTGCATTAAAATAAGGCCAGATCGATCTTTTGACCTTATTAGCCCAAAAAAACAAAAAAACAAAAAGGGAAAGAACAGTTTGCTCCTTTTAGTAGGATTGATGGGTGGGTGGGCTTTTTTTTGTAATGAAGGATTTCCAGATATGGGAAATCGATATAGCTGCTGCTATGCAAAACTTGTAGCTTGCTGTGCTGGTATGCTGCCCCTGTTCGAGTTTGGTAGTAGGTAAAAGAAGAGAAGAAAACCACGTGCATAGTATTACCATCTCGTGTTATATATGTCCAGTTCCTTTCTTTGCTTTTCATAGCTTTCTTTTGCGGAAGCATGGTCTTGGAGACTTTGACCTGAGTAAGCTGTTTATGTTTAAAGAGTTTGCAACAGTTCTGCTTGTAGTAAGTAATGAGGGGGGACCGGTGTTGGTGTATGAGAGCAAAAATGTTGCGCACTCTTTATTGATTACAGATGAGTGATAGGAATGGGGGAAAGGTAGGTGGATCGACACTTAATGTTTGATTGTGGTAGGTGCTCGTTGGGTCGGGTAATACCTGTATGATTGAACGCGGGTTTTGTTAGTTAACAGAAGGGATTAAATGTGGTTCGAAAACCTTGTTTTGTATCCATATATTGCGAGGTTTTACAATCTTGAGCGACGGTCGATGGGATATAGTTGCGATTAAATTAATGAGAAATGGGTAGAGAGGATGATGAGGTATGCCAAGTAAGATGTAGGAAATGGAGGAAGATAGACACATGTATTATCCCTAAGCTGGGGTATGGAGACACCAATTTGAGTTGGTCAAGTAGTTGTGATGAACCTGAGCGTGAAAAACTGGAGTGATAGAGAGGCGCCACAAATTAAGGAAATTAGGAAGAGGATATATTATAAGATATGATCACCTCCTCGATGATAGAGGCGTGGTGTACATAATATACATACTGGACAATGTGAGAACCAGATCATCACGTCCTCAATAAAAACATACAATCAAAGAAATCATGAAGGACTACAAATTCAATAGCGACATACATTGTATGCGGACTCACAGAACATAAAAGAACTAGATCACCATTTCGATAATAAATGATAAATTATACATTTTGCTGGGCGAAAATTTTTTTTTTTGATAAGGGTGATATAGGTTTTATTTTGTTGTTATTAAGGTACTACTTAAGGGATTCGAACCTGGGACCTCCAGGTTCTAGGCTAGTGGTATTTCCACTTGACCAAGCCCTTGTTCGTTGCTGGGCGAAAAATTTGTTACACCTTTCTAAAGGACCTCTAGATTTGAGGTGTCATATGGTAAAACTGGTTTTGTATTCATATATACTTGTCTTCTTCTACGATTTCCTCCATAGGAATCACATTCAAGCTCACTTACCATGCTAGATAATAAAATGGATTGTTTTGGTTGGAAAGCTTGTGTTTGTATTCGGGTATTACAAGGTTTATGTACAAAGAGTTTACAATATTGAGATTGTTACTTAAGTACTTTGTCTATGCGTTAAAATATAACACATTCACATGTTAACATAATATACGGCACAAGCAAAATAATGTACGTCAATTTCGTACGAGGCTCGTGAACTCTTATGGATGGTTGAAATGGCAACCGTTTTTCCAAAAGAAAGTGTCATCCAAGCAATGGGAGACAAAATTCTTGGTGGGTCTTCAATTGGTTTGGCTGGAAAAGTTGGTCATATACTCCTATTGCCACATAATAGAGTCCTAGTTCAGGTTGTGTCATGAAACAATTTGGATGCTACGTTTTCCCATTTTACTGTTCTTTCTTCTTACTCTGTTTTTTTGGCTGCGGGGAGGAACGAGGAAGGAGAAAGAATGAAGGAGCTTTGGTTCTGTTGTTGGTTGCCACTTCTGTTTAGTTGGAAAAGAGAAGGATGGGACATGTTTTTTTGTTGTTATTCAAAAAGCCTACTTTCCAAAGCTTCCAACTTTCAACACAGACACTCGAACCAGAAGGATTGCCCTCATTGGCTTTCCCTCTCTTTTATCTCTTCATCTTATGGGTCCAATCTTGTCCTTGCCATGTCCTCTTCCCTAGTTCCCTTTTCCCTTTCTCCATCTCCCCATCATTGTCATCACAAAGAGTATAGATGTACATACAATTGAATGTGGAGAGGTCTTCAATAGGAACATTAAGATGAAATTAGGTGGCGATGCCGCGCCTTGTCGCGAAGCAAAGATGGCATATTGGCATGTATTATATGGTCCGTTATGGTGTTTTGTTAGTATTATTGGTCTAAAATTATTTTTTTGTTAGCAGTTTTGTTAGTAATATATGGGATTGGAAGTTCGTAGATGAGTTTGGGTAGGGTATGGATATTTACTTCCATAATTTAAATTTGTATGAGTTGGGTATGGATACCCATTTATTCAAGGGTGATTTAATTACACATACAAAAATTAGACCTATATGTAGAACTTCAAAAGTTTAGGTACCAAAATGTAATACAAAAAAAATTAGGTGCTAAAATGTAATGTTCCATCAACATTTTGAGGACTTATATGCTAAAAAAATAAATTTAGCTTATAAATCTAAAGATTTATTGAGTTTCGGTACTGAACTGTAATTTTTATAGCTGAGGCTTAACTCCTTTTATAGTGATGTATTTAAGATGATAATTATTTACCTTTTTATAGAAAAATGAAAACTATTTATTTTATATGTGTAGATACCTAGCCAAATATTCCAAGTATAATTGTCGAAAATTCTAGCACGGGTGAAAAAGGAAAACTCTAGAGAGAAGCAAAAGGAATACAAACTGGAACTCGCTTAAAATTTCACGCCTGAAAAAGTTAGTGGTTCATGGTTCAGTGATTAATTCTCTAGACTGTTGGTGAGTCGTGTATGGACCCGTTCATACTTGTGATTAGAATATATAAAAATGATATACTAATTAGGGTTAGATGAAGAAGGCAAAGAAAGAAATAAAGAAAGGGTTATGGAAGGCGAGTGAAAAATGAAATGAAGAGGAAGTAGATGATGGAATGCTTTGATCAATTATTTTAGTTGGTCGTCAATACAACAGTCAATCATTTTCACCGTATCAATTTATTGACACTTGCTTATGTAGATGATGACTCGATATTTGCACATGTTTTCCCCTTTGTTTCTTGATCGTTTAAGCTTGCTTTATCGCTTCTTTGGCCTATTTTACGCTAGTTTGTGTTCCTTTGTCACATTTCAGGCCCTAGCACATAAAGTGAAGCGTAGGCGCAAGTTTCAAGTCAATCGGAGATCATTTGGCAATTCGGGAGAAGAAACACGAGTATGACCTGAGGAATAATGGATTTCTACCTCATATTATGGACAAATTATCATGGAAGTTTGTTATGAAAAGAAAGAGGACGAGACTACGAGCGTCTGGGTTCAGACGGCGACTGATTTGGAGTCCGGACGAGGGAGAAACGAAGCTTTGAACATGAGCGGAGGAAGAATTACGGGCAGGAGAATTACGACCATAATTTGGCCTCCCATGCCCGTACTTTCACTGCCGAGAGGAGATTTGGGTGCGCTGAAACTTAACCAAAACGCGTGTTTTGGGCAAAATACGGGCATGGAAGAATTACGACCGTAATTCAGCCCGTAATTCGCCCAGAATCGGGTTTTTGAGGCAGATTCGAGCCAAAGGAAAGAGAGAGCTGGGTTTTGGTTCCCAAACACCCAAGGGACGAACCCTAGAGAGAGAGAGCGACTTGGGAACATTCTTGGAGCTATTTTGGAGGATTTCTTCGCCATTGGAGCTCGGGAATCAAACTTGGAGATGGAGATTGAAGATCTAGATCAGATTTCTGCAGTCTCTCTCTTCTCTATGGAGTAACTTCCCTTCACTTAGGTTTTGAGGAACCCTAGTTCCATGTGTTAGGATCTTTCATGTATGAAGTTTTGAATGCTATACTGTGTGATTATAATCAATTGAGGCATGATTTATTGAGTCAATTGAATCTTGATCAAATTCTCTTGATTTCTGCTTTAACCTATGATAGATAGAATCTTATTAGGTTAAGAGAGCTTCCTTGATTGATAGTGGTGAATTGGTAGTGCGAGAGTCAACCAATTCACTGCTTTGTATTGGAATTCATTCCAGTAGTGGAGATCTGTGTGAATTGCCTTAGCAGTCTATCCCGGTGAAGGCTAGTCGCCTGCCGGGTATTCTGTCTGAGAGGGCTTGGTCAGCTTAAGAGATTCCAAGCTAATTTAGGATCTTCCGCAGTTTAATCAATAGTAGATCAACCAAATGTAATTGCAACTTGGACCTAATGAGGAGCTAGGGGGAATCATACCTAAGTGAGTTCCCAACTTGTAATTAGTAGAGTAGTTTATAAATCAATCCTTAATCTAGTTTGCTAGATAATGAACTGAAGCTGAGTAATAGTAACTCTAGAGACCCGTGGATTCGATATTTATTACTTGTGCCACTATACTGCAGTCTCTTTCATTGGTTACACTTGGCCATTGTTAGGTGTTGTGTTTTAGCGTACCAGTAGATGTCACATATTTGTTACATGTAGTTAGTAGAAGTTTGTTTAGTACCTCGTAAATATACTAAATGAGTTTATAAGTTCGCTCATGCAATATTTTAGAGTCGTCTCTCTTTTATCATTTATTTAATGTTTCACGTTATGCGCAAATATAAAATGGTCGAATCTTCTCCTACAATTGAGTGGTACAACATCTTGTATTGTACAGACTAAATTTATACTCTTACGTTATATTTGATTGGATTCATGGATTGGTTCAAAAGAATTGGTGGATTGGATTCATGGATTCAAGTGAAATCTAAACATTGGACCAATATGTAAATTTAAAAAAGTGTAGGTAAGAAAATCTCATAAAATTTAGATATCAAAACATAATTGTTCAATGATTTTACATTAAAATTAAATTTGAGGTATCAAAATATAAAATGTACATTAAAGTGACTAAGTTGTGATTTAATTAAATTTGGGGTATTAGGTACGAAAATCTCATAAAATTTATATACCAAACATAATTGTTCAATGCTTTTAGTTAAAATTAAATATGGGATACCTAAAT